GCAATAAGTCGGACTCGTTCCCGGTGGGTGATGGGCTCCGCCAGGGCTGCCCTTTGTCACCGGTTCAATTAGTTTGTTTACCAAAAACAACTCAAACAATGTTTAATTTTATAAAGTACAGCTGTTTCATAACTTACTAAAATTACATACTGATATTTTGATATACTTCCATTATTCACGTATTAATAATGTATTTGTTGTTTTATTACTTATGTGGAAATGGAGTATAATATATTTAGCTAACATCATTGTTAGCTTAATTATGTTAGCTAAATGGTTGCAAATATAAAATCCGTTGCAAACCGCTCCCCCCCCCCAAAAAAAAAACCATAAAAAATACCAAATAGCTAAAGAGCTGCTAGGCTTGCAGCGCACTTATTGAAAACAGTGAATTCTGACTGCTTATTCACACATAAAGATGTGCAGTTATAAATGTGAATATCTCACCAACTATTTGAGGCAGCGAGTAGCCGTCCAAATCCAGCAGCACTGTTCCTGTCTGGAGACATGTCCTGAGCTCAAAAAGACTGTGCAGGGACAGTGTGGACACATGGGGTTTACTCCACCTCTCCCCTCCCTCCTCTACCTTTTCCTCGAACTTCACCCACCTAAAGGCAGCAAGAACATGCAGAGACACAGAATAGGTGAGAATACAATTTACCTAAAATTTCATGTCTGGGGTGCTGGTTAATGGTTAATGCAGAGACTAGTGTTCAAATCCTACTTGAGGCCAATTACTACATGACATTACTCTGGTCTTTTCCCCAGCGTTCCTGTCTTCTCTCCACCATCAAATAACAACAAAAGGCTAAAAAAGCCCAAAACAATTTTTTAAAAGAAAAAGAAAGAAAGAAAAGAAAGAAAACTCAACAGGGCCACTGCTTAGTATATGTCATTGGTTTTTGCAAGTTATTTTCATTTAGCAGGAGTCTCTTGGAGCAGTACTAAGTAATAATCAGTACTGAGCAACATCATTATCCTAGGTCCAAGCCTCTACTTGCTTAACGCTGTTATTAGTGCTATAAATTTATAGAACACCATTAGTCTGATCTTTTAGCAGCTCACACCGTACACTTCATTACAAGGGCTCATGGTGTCCTTGATAACAATATTTTACTGCCTTAATTAGCGTAATCATTTCTGATGAGTTACCGTATTTAAGATATGTTGTTCTGATTAGCATACTCTTTTCAGATATGCTGACCTAATATTGAAATGCTTTTTAACATTTAATAGGTAGAGCAGTAGTACTACCAATTACAGATATCAGTTTCTTTTTGGTGACTCTGTAATGTAATTTTGAGAAGTTGAAATTCTAATTAAATGTGATTCTAAGCAGAATGCAAATACAGCAAGATGGCTTCTGTGAATATTCTAATTAGTACATAAAATTCCCATTCCTTATTGTTAGCAATACTTCTTCCCTGTCCAGATTAGTTCTTGTATCTTGTCCCACATGAGACCTAAAAGCAGCTTCATTCATCATAGATCAGTGGTCCCCAACCCCCGGGCCACGGACCGGTACCCGTTCGTGAGTCGTTTGGCACTGGGCCGCGAGAGTTGAGGCTCAGGTGTGAAATGTATGGTTTTCAGGCTTTTTATAGGTTTTTAGCGTTATTTTGTTATTGTTTTTTTTCATTAACTCGGTTTTCCTGGGTCTTTTCACGTGTGTTATGAATAAATCTTCTTTTTTTCGGTACCGGTACTAGTTTTATTTTGTTGTATTTATCCGCGACAC